AAAATATATATAATATAGTATAACAAAATATATATAATATAACAAAATATATATAATATAACAAAATTTACCAATAGAATATATTTACTTACGGTGGTGAAAATACCAGTTTTTACTGAAACTTTCGATCACAACAAAACTGTATGACGATGTTTGGATATCTTAATGGTCATGATATCTTGGCTACCAAATTATCGGTATTAAGTCAACCTGTCCCGATCTTCCCAACAGTTCGATTATCATTTCTATTGCTTAATCTCATTCTCTTAGTTTACTTAACATGATCGTTATGATTTGTATTGCTTAGTTTCATTCTCTTAATTTATATAACATGATCGTTATGATTTGTATTGCTTAATCTCATTCTCTTAGTTTACTTAACATGATAGTTATTATTTCTATTGCTTAATCTCATTCTCTTAGTTTACTTAACATGATCGTTATGATTTGTATTGCTTAGTTTCATTCTCTTAATTTATATAACATGATAGTTATGATTTCTGTTGCTTAATCTCATTCTCTTAGTTCACATAACATTATCGTTATGATTTCTATTGCTTAGTTTCATTCTCTTAGTTTATATAACATGATAGTTATGATTTCTGTCGCTTAATCTCATTCTCTTAGTTTACATAACATGATCGTTATGAAGCTTCTTTAGCGAAACTGTATCCGTTTCTGAGTATTAATCTGTTTGTTACTCAGCGTTTATCGAACTGGGGAATATTTGAGTACTTGTTTTTCAGAGTGGTGGAGATGAACTATCGCTTTGACCGACTACAACGGTTAATTAATTATTTCGCAGATAGGGGTCCTTTAAAACCGAAGGAATCGTCTAACAACTAACTGGAAAAAATTAAAAATGTCCATGTTGTTATCAGAGTTTTACTGTTTACGGTATTAGATAAATCTTATGATATTTTAGTGTAAAAAAAGAAAGATTGACCTTGAAGAATAAAGTTATTGTTTGTAATGGTCTAACTTCTGATACAATTACATTTTTACATGTATGCGTATTTTCAATTACATTTGCCTTATTACGATCGTTTTTAGTTATTTTTATGTTAAGTTTAAAAATCAAATTAATTTGTAAAAGGCTGGTACTTCTATCATATTGACAATACAACGGTCTGTTTTAGACACTATCAGCATTTCAAACGGATATATTATGTTTCAAGTTTGACCTTAAACGGAATGTATTATGTTTCAAGTTTGACCTTAAACGGAATGTATTATGTTTCAAGTTTGACCTCCAACGGAATATATTATGTTTCAAGTTTGACCTTAAACGGAATGTATTATGTTTCAAGTTTGACCTTAAACGGAATGTATTATGTTTCAAGTTTGACCTCCAACGGAATATATTATGTTTCAAGTTTGACCTTAAACGGATATATTATGTTTCAAGTTTGGCCTTTAACGGATATATTATGTTTCAAGTTTGACCTCCAATGGAATATATTATGTTTTGAGTTTGAACTTTAATGGATATGTTTCAAGTTTGACCTCCAATGGAATATATTATGTTTTGAGTTTGAACGTTAATGGATATGTTTCAAGTTTGACCTTAGACGGATATATTATGTTTCAAGTTTGCCCTTAAACGGATATATAATGTTTCAAGTTTGACCTCCAACGGAATATATTGTTTTAAGTTTGACCTCCAACGGAATATATTATGTTTTAAGTTTGACCTCCAGCATAAATATCTGTTTCCAAACTAGTGAGGCATAATTACGAATGATGTTTCCATTTTCTGTTTTTCAGAACCTATAATCAAGTTCGAGAACGTCAGATATAACGTTAAAGAACCTCTGCAACCCGGAGAGGTCACAATTTTAGAAGTGCCAGTTATTCGAAAAGGCGACGTTAGCAAATCATCACATGTCCGGGTTCATACCAAGGATGGTTCAGCAAAATCTGGTAAAGACTACAGTCCTTTTTCGAAAGGTAAGTCTGGATTTTTTTGTTTGTTTGTTTTGAATTTCGTGCAAAGCTACACGAGGGCTATCTGCGCTAGCCGTCCCTAATTTAGCAGTGTAAGACTAGAGGGAAGGCAGCTAGTCATCACCACCCACCGCCAACTTTTGGGCTACTCTTTTACCAACGAATAGTGGGATTGACCGTCACATTATAACGCGCCCACGGCTGAAAGGGCGAGCATGTTTGGTGGGACGGGGATTCGAACCGCGATCCGCAGATTGCGAGTCGAGCTCCCTAACTACCTCGCCATGGATTATTTTTTCATTGTGTTATGTTTTAACAATTGGAATAGGTAGTGTTAAGTTACAACATAGATTGTAAATTAAACTATTCGGGTATAAAATGAACGCTTAAAATTCGAAATTCTATGTGGAATATAACAAATGTTTAAATCATTCACGAACATGATACCCGTTACATTTATTTTCATTTTTAAGCGAATATCCAAATATCTGGCATTCATAACGATAACGTATATTTGAAATTGATACCAAAACACATGAATGTTCAGAAAATGTTTTATTTTCTTCTTGTAGAACTGGAATTCGGACAGAATGTAAGCAAGATAGTTATAGAAATCGAGATTCTTTACAGTAAAGAAAAGGAACACCGTGAAGCCTTCACTCTTCATCTTCGTCCAGACAGAGACATGATTGCTGATATAGAGGTAAGTATATCAAGCATATCCATCACCGTTCAGCGATAAGAGTGCTGTATCTTTGTTCGGACACTAAAAGTGTCTACAGAGTAGACGTTCTGTAATTTTCATTTAACCAAGAACGAGGTCAATGATAGAAGAGTTGAGTACATATCCGAGGTCAATGATAGAATAGTTTAGTACATATCCGAGGTCAATGATAGAAGAGCTGAGTACATATCCAAGGTCAATGATAGAAGAGTTTAGTACATATCCGAGGTCAATGATAGAAGAGTTGAGTACATATCCGAGGTCAATGATAGAATAGTTTAGTACATATCCGAGGTCAATAATAGAAGAGACTGAGTACATATCCGATGTCAATGATAGAAGAGCTGAGTACATATCCGATGTCAATGATAGAAGTGTTGAGTACATATCCGAGGTCAATGATAGAAGAGCTGAGTACATATCCGAGGTCAATGATAGAATAGTTTAGTACATATCCGAGGTCAATGATAGAAGAGCTGAGTACATATCCGATGTCAATGATAGAAGAGCTGAGTACATATCCGATGTCAATGATAGAAGTGTTGAGTACATATCCGAGGTCAATGATAGAAGAGCTGAGTACATATCCGAGGTCAATGATAGAAGAGTTGAGTACATATCCATTTTATTTCGTTTAACCCATTCACGATGAGTGGAATAAAACTGCATTGCCGTAGGAAGCGGTAAGGCCAGTCAGGCCATGGCCTGACCACCTTTTTATGGCATAGCATGGTATAGCTATAACTTGTGTATTTTTTAATTCAGTACATTACGTTGTGTGTATGCAGTACTTGTAGTTAAAATGGCTCAAGATTCAATCTTGTAGCATTGAATTTTCAACAGCTTTCTGGGGGCATGCCCTCAGACCCCCCCTTCGAGAAATGGCATGCTTTGCACACATCGTGTTAAGATGGAGATAGTATATTTTAATTGTGTATCACTGGTCATGCCTCTGTTTACATATTAAATTCTATGTCACTGATTATATTTTTGTTTACAGGTGAAAAGAATGAATGTACAGTTCATTACCGTAGGAAGCAATTTTGGAGTGGTCAGACCATTGCCACAGCTAAACAATGTGATTATCTGTAAACAGAGGCATGATCAGTGCTACACAATTTAATATGTACTATCTCCATCTTCATCTGTAAACAGAGGCATGATCAGTGATGCACAATTTAATATGTACTATCTCCGTCTTCATCTGTAAACAGAGGCATGACCAATGATGCACAATTAAATATGTACTATCTCCATCTTCATCTGTAAACAGAGGCATGATCAGTGATGTAGAGTTTTGCAATATGATTTCTGATTTTCATCTTAAACGGATTGACGGTGAGAGATGTGGAGTTGTGAGTGTACTATTTTCGTCTTAATTTAAAGAAAATTATGACTGGTGAAAATATCAAGGCACAGACGCAAGGGCAATAAAACTATTGCTTGTAGAACAATCATAGGATTCGTTATCCCTCTAGTTTGTACTTGTTTACTTGTGGTCAACCATTGCAGCATTTTAAACTATTGCTAAACCTTACAGCAACCTTTTAGGACACGTGTGTATATATATATATCAAGATATATCTATATAAATGTAATAGTACTGTCTGCTGTATGTCCATGTAACTATAAGAAGATATATCTATATAAATGTAATAGTACTGTCTGCTGTATGTCCATGTAACTATAAGAAGATATATCTATATAAATGTAACTATAAGAAGATATATCTATATAAATGTAATAGTACTGTCTGCTGTATGTCCATGTAACTATAAGAAGATATATCTATATAAATGTAACTATAAGAAGATATATCTATATAATGTAATAGTACTGTACTGCTGTATGTACCATGTAACTATAAGAAGATATATATCTATATAATGTAACTA